GATTTTATTGAAATTTAATATATGTTTCAAGGTGTAAACCAATTAATGCTTTATAAATAAAGATGTAAGACTGACAGTCGGTGAAGGCCATTCAGCTTCTCAATAAAGAGTACAACGATACCACCAAAATTAACACCATTGTAAACTCTTTCATATATCTGTAGTGATGAAACACTTGCATTCCTGTCAAGATTAAAAGTAGCAGCTAGTTTACATTTATTGACGCGATTTACATGCATTTAAAGCCTAATAATTGGTGCTTTTCAATCAGAAAATAATTAGCTGAAAATGAACCGGCACTGATCTCATCCAAATTTTTGGTAATGCAAGACAAATAAAGATGATTTTAGAGATGAAAGCATTATGTTTTCTGATGTTTTGTTGTAAATGAATCACATATTGCTAAACTGTGCATAATGTAAACCACTGGGGGACCACAGACAATTGTCATTAGCCTACATGTATTGCATTAAAAGAAAGTCAGTAAATACAAAGATTTTTAATATAATGTATTCTACAAACTATAATTTTAGTATTTTTGTGCATTTAATAGTATTTTTGTAGATTTATGATGTAGCCATGTGAACTTAGCATCTCATTCTAGCATTTAATGCTGAGCAGGACTCTAGCCTTGAAGCCTCAGAAGGACTGGACTAGGAAGGATGCATTCTCACTAGGATGCAGCCTTCCATTTGAGAAACACCAAATGTTAAAAGCACAATGTTTCCACCTTTAACTTCTGATGTTTTTATTAACCTTTTCCATCTTCTTCTTTGAGTAGTTCTTACAAAAATGCCCAATTTTGAGTGTTGCCACCTAGAGGACCCACCAAACAGCGCAGTCAATTTCAGGTACAAGCACAGAAGCAAGTTCAGACACGCAAATGTGCATGAGCCTACAAAATTTGTACTGCAAACAAATAGTTCTAGCATACTCAGCTGATGGCTAAATTCACTTCATATGCACTGTGTAGGTGACAAGTTGTCAGCTGAAAAATTCTTTCAGCTTCAGTCGTGCCACACAAACAGTGCTACTCTATAAGGATGCAACTCACACGAGCAGGAAAAGACACACATTTGACACTCACACCACTCATTCAAATTAGTGGAGAAGGCCTTGCCAGAAATATTAATGATAACATCATTAATAAATAAATGCATAAACTCTAAATAAGAATTTGACAAGCCAAAATGTATTCACCAAATACGCAAAAAAAAAAAAAAGTTGGTTATAAGTGGATTTCTATTTCCACATTCCCATGAGGATGTATGAGGCCAAATACTGTCCACAACCTACAACCATATGAGACCAAAAGAAAATTGTCTAATAAATTAGAAGTTTAAAATTGTAAACCTGAAAATGAATAGTTTTCAATCTTGAATTGTCTTTAATGAGTCTTTCTGATTGTATACTTTCTGAAATGTAGCCTACTTCCTGAAGCTACACATTTGAACCGCGCCACATGGACCATTTATCCTCTCGGCTCAGAGTTCAAACAGCAGCGCACCGCGAGATCACTGGAGCAGATGCGTTAAACAGCGCTGTGAGATCCAGTGTGATGCGCTTGAATTCAGCTAACACATATGACTCTGTGATTTAAACTAGTTTAAAGCTGGATGAAACAGCACTGAAAACAGGAGAAACACTGCACAACGATACAGTCAGAAGGCTTTTCAATCTACAAATCGCCATAATTTACCATAGATTTGTAGTAACACTAACTGCACCATGGTGTTGTGGCAGAAATGTGGGATTTTCATATCAAATTTGATTATATTATTAATGTAGACATGTATTAAATGTATTAAAGGAGTAATGGAATATAATTACAGTATTTTTTTAGTGATTAAGCTATAGTGTTTTGCATTTATACTAAATGCATTTAGACTACTCTTTTTCTTACATACCTACAAACCATTTTTACCATGGTATTGAGGTTTTAATTGTGGTAATCATGATCTAAATGCATGCTACTATGAGGTTTTTACAATTTTTACAGATGTTACTGTTTGTGATAATGAACATAAATGTACATCTGCATCCTAACTCAAGCTACTTCTACTATCAACTCAAACTACTTTCAAATGTGCATTTCCAAGAGACTGAAGATACACGTCATCAAAGTCAGGCAACAGAAATCTGTTTCATGATTTGATACAATATCAATGCAGAAACTAAGAAATATTTTTTTTTATTAAGATATATAAATGAACTTTTCCACGACATTCTAATTTATTGAGATGCACCTGTATCTTGTTAAGGAAAAATGACTGGCAAAGTATAAACAATTCAAAAGCGTAGTGTTTGTCATGTTCTCACTATAAAGAGTTTAAAACCACAATTAACAATCTGGTTTCTACAGTACAACTTTCACAACTTTCATATCGACTGATATGAAAAATTTTATCGTGATCTTTTTTTTTGGCCATATCGCCCAGCCCTATAAGATATTAAGACTTGTTTTATTAGGCTTTTTATTTGTTGTTTAATGCATTCATACTTAATACAGCTGAAAACAAATCTGCCTGTATGTAAAGCAAAATACACTTGCAATAAAGATCCTTCTTTACAATTCTTTCCAAATAACTAAATTGATCTTGTTTCAATTATGGATTTTTAGATATTGTATTGAGAAAATTAGACAAACATGCTCAACAACAGAAATTTTGCAGTACATGACCATCATCAAATCAAGTTAGAGTTAAATTATTCAGACATTAACAAAATGTAGTGCCTTAACTATCATCTCTGACTATGTTAAGGTAAATAAACAGTGTTTAGGGTACGTTGTAAAGTTTTCCATGTTTACTTGCAATTTTGCCAAGATCTAATAATTATTCTTAAGAATGATGACAATATGAAACACACAACATAATTGTTGAAATAATGTGAGAAATATTGCACATCAAAGTAAAGTTTGTGCCAGGGTTTCACTTTAAGAATAAACGAAGACTGAAATCGAATTTAGGTGTTTGAAAACACAGTGCAAACGGAAATATAAAGGACAATCTATGTTATTATATATGAAGCATAGCCCCAAAAAACAAAGAAAACAAAACAACAACAAAAAAAGTTAAAACTGAATATACAATTTTATACAATAGACAGTACAAATATAAAATATAAAATTTTCCAGCCTAGGGTGAAGTGAATTCATATAAATATTTTGTTGACAATGTCATTTAATGGAAAACTATGAGAACGGCGCACCAGATTTTTAACAGCCTCTCGTATTTTGGCACCACCAACAGATGCCGAATGGTGCCGTCAAATACAGAACACTCACAGATATGTATTTAAATTTAAAAGACATGGGGCTTCTCATTTAGTGTGTGACCCTCTTTATGCTTTGTTTTGTTAATGTTAGAGGCTCCTGGTTGAAGGACCTAATTTATTAATTATAACCCACCAAATTGAGTTATGTTTTACCTTCTGTGGTTGATTTTCACCCGCATTTGGCGGGTTGACAGGTTTTCATTTCAAATCCTGATTGTATTCAGAAAGATTGATTGATAAATACGTTTTCATCTGTTATTGGACATTTGCTTGTTCATTTAAACTGTAGCTTTATTTTATTTATCTCACTTAATACAACAACAAACAGTAACTTGCTTTACATTATTCCTAAAATATGTTGGCCAGTGCACACACACACACTTCCCTTTATATGACTGCCACAACCAGAGCTATTTGCTATCCATGACTATTCCGGAGCATCTGCATACAACTTTCAGAGAATAGCTTCCTGTATGCCAGGAAGTGTTACAGAAACAAGGGGCAGGGTAAACGAAAGCAAAACAGGGTCATCTTTCATTCAGTAGCAGGGCTTCACAGACTGCAACTAAATGGTCCATTTTGCTAAGTTTTGTTTTGGCTAAATTTTGTTAGCGGTCACATTGGTGCCTTTATAAAGTTGGTCAACTGTATGATTAGACTATGTGCTTTCATTTCTTTTGCATATGAAAAAAAAAAGTCAAACACCCGTGAGAGCAGAGCCCAAAGCTCGTGGCCAGTGGTGTTCGGACTGGAGTTTGAACATCTGCTTAATGATATAAACGGGAATCACCTACGAGCTCTCCCGCGAGCCATCAGCGCAGGGTAAAGATTTTACTCTATCGCTTAATTTGTTCTAAGCAGCAGCACAGCGCAGGAGAAAGATTTTACTCTATCGCTTTGTTCTAAGCAACGGGGGTGTCCCGGGGCTCGAAATTCGTAGGGTAGGAGGGGGTAGTGACGCTGGGTGTAACTAAAAAGGTGCCATTGTCCAGTAAGGTCCGGTTGGGGAGTTACGGTACGATCTCATATCGCATAATCCTATTAACTGTTTATCTCCTGAACTGCATATTTCTTTACCAAGCTATTTAGCGCCAATCCCGCCGTGCAGTCAATTTCACTGGTTAAGGTTAGGGTCAGGTGTGGGGTAGGTTCTGGCTTCAGCCAATTGTTGGCATAAGTGTAGGAATAGTGTAGGAAACATAGTGTAGCATAGTGTAGCATAGTGTAGGAAATCAACACTTTAATTGACAACCAATAAAATCTTTAGAATCAGCTGTGGGGCGGAGTTTGCACTGAAGTGGATTGGGGGAAAAAGTGTGCATGCGTGTCATGTGCCTGTCTGTCAATGGGAGGAAGCCACGCCCTATTTTGGAGCTCCCACCCCGTTTTGGAGTTCCCGCCCCCATTTGGAGATCTCCAGGCTGCAGTTATACCCTTCTCGTTTATTCAGCTGCAGCGATAGGCATTTTCTGGGTTTCTTCTGCGAGGCGTATTTGGAGTTTCAGCGCGAGAGCGCCCTCTGGCCTTTGGATGGAGATTTACTGCTGATCACAGAACCATGCTTCACTGAAAGATACGCATGATAATCGCAGCTTCTGTCGAATCGCGATCTCGATTCCATTTTGATTCATCGTGCAGCCCTACAAACACTCCAAAAGTGAAATGAAACCGCTATCCATGAGAACTGTTCAGAGTAGGTGCATTTATTCTCAGAGCGATCTCGACTACACGGCATAATTTATAAACAGTGCTGTGGGGTGCAGTGAGAAGAGCTTTAAATTCAGCACAGAAAATCTAACACATTTTGACAAATTTTGTCTCTGTGATTGAAGCTAATTTAAAACCAGATGAAACAGCCTCAACATTCTCAACAGCAATGAACACAAGAAAACCGGTGAAATCATATTGTCATATACAAACAAGTTTTCAATCCACAAATCACTATCCTTGCAAACATTTACCATGGATTTACTGTAGTAAACTGTGTTTACCATGGCATTTTGGCAGGAATGTGGTATACCTATACTGTTATTAATATAATCATATATGTTGTACTAAATATTAGGGGAATAAGGGAGTATAATTTATTTTTTATTATTACACAACAGTTTATTTTTCAATAACATTTGTCCTTCATAACAAATTCCAGTTTTATGGAGACCAAATAGAAAACAATTACATTTCACCATGGTAGTAAGGAGGCATCCAAGCTTTTACCTGTAGTTATCATGGTCTACAACCTGTTAAAAGTATGAATACTGTGGAAGAATTATAATGAAAAAAAATAAATAAATCAAAGGGCAAACCCAAGGTGTCAAATGTGCATTTAAATAAGTTCAAATATGTAATATTATTGGTATCTTTAATTTGTGTCCTTTAATATTAGTCTCCCCATCCCCACGAGTGCAAATAAAGCGCTGATGCCACGAACTGTAAAACTTGTTGACACCGCTCTCATATGTAAGTCTGGAGCCCTGCAGTAAAGAAAGCCATACATACAAGTAGCTTCATATAAAGATTTAAGAAGCGATGCTTTCGTGCAAAACACAAACGTCTGCCTGGACATTAAGATCGACAAAATATGAATACAGCTATTTACAGCCTAAAAAATCCAAAGTGTTCCTCACAATATATGTGATTTTGTTTGTAACATCCTCAAAATACACACAAAAACTACCACACACACAAACACACCAGAAGACCAACAAAAGCTTGAGTTGGCCACTGTGAAAAATGTTTTTAAACAGAGCTTACAACCACTAGACTGTCTGCAAAATGTTTATTTCTTTAATGTGACAGGCTCCTTACTTTATCTACCCCCTGCCTGTTATGGCTGCCCCACTTGCTAGAAAGAACAGCAGCCTGCCATAAAACTTCAGTTTCAACACTTGGTTCACTCACTCATCAGTGCATCAGATGAACTTTTGCATGCTGGCCCAGAAACAGCTCCAGCCAAAGCTGCCTAATAAACTGTACTAACTGAGGCCCCAGAAGACTCTGAAAGACCCTCTAGTGGTTGATAGAAAAAAAGTAAGCTGAGGTTATAATGATTTTCCAAACATGTAAAATTGTTTGTAACTGACTGGAAACGAAACAAGAGTCTAAAGATTACAATGGAAAGCAGTCTGGCCCATAACTTTCTTACCTTGTTTTGTGTGATTCCACTAATCGTCTTCATGTTCTGCCCAGCCAGCACCATGGACTTACATTCCACACAGGAGCCAATTGTTAACTGCTTGCCATTGTCAATTACCAGGGTCTGGCTGACCCTTGGAGCATAGAGGAATACAGGCAAGCGGTCAACGCACACTGCTTTCAGTCCAAGAGGTCTCCTCTTCTCTTTCCTGCAGAAGAAGCAGATGAAAGTGTTGCAGCTATACTGACGTGCCCAGGGGCTGCTGGACGGGCCTGATTCTGAGCCCTGACTCTCATGTTGGGTCCACTGGCCCAGCAGGTCATGGTAGCACAGTGCACAAGCAGACACAAGGCCAGTGGCATCAGCAGGGCAGGCACGGGGAGCGGGAGGGTGGACAGTTAGAAAGGGAAAAAAGGGTGCTCGCTCCCCACAACGCCCTGGAGGGTTAACATGAAGCTGATACTCGGTTCCTCCAGACAGCTCCTCCCCACACAAGTAACAGATGGAGGTGTGGCTTGCGGTTGTTGTGGCAGTCTGAGAAGGGGTCGACAGGGGTCCTCTGGGGGGGGATACCAAGACTCCTCCCATTCCCATGGCCAGGTGGTATCTCTCAAGGAACGTGGTGATGGAAGTAATGAGCTCCTCGCTTAGACAGAGGCAGTACTCTGCCCAGATCCCTTCCAAGATGCTGTGACATGAGACACAGCAGTATACCCTTCCATTCCGCATACTCTGTGCATTTGGAGGGCATGGTAGCAGATTTATGAATGGAAAATACATTGCACTGCGGGCTTTACTTGCACCAGCATGGGTGTATGCCATCCTGACCTCTCGACCGCAGTCCTGTCCACATAGGTAGCAGGCCTCCCTGCGATTCTGTGGCATGGAGGGGAGTGAATGGATTTTTGGTGGTCCATCCCCACATTCATTCATGGCAGGTGGAGAAAGAGGGGTTGCAGCACCCGTTCTGAGGGGCACCACATAGAGTCGCTGGAGAACAGGAACATCTGCAAGCTCGAACCCTTGCCACTGCTGCATGAGGGAGGAGTGGCAAGTTGTGCATACCAGAGAGTATCCACCCAGGCTAAGAGGCACCGCACCAGGTGGAGGGCTATGGAGCCACAGAAAAGGGAAGAATGGTTCACTGGCTCTCTCCTGCTTTTGTACAAACACCCTGAAGCGGCCTCCTGCTGAAAGCCTGCTTCCACAAATATAACAGGCACATTCATCAGCAGAAAAACTGGAGTGACATTTGGGTGCTTGACTCCTCTCTACATCTAAGTGAGCTGATGCTGCGCGCTCTCTCTCGTCATCGCTGGTGATGTTGATATCGCTGCTGTCAGGCCCGTCCGAGTCACCGGTGGACGCATGTATCCACTGCTTGTCACACGTAATGATGCCGTTATCCTGCAGAGGTGCGCGAATAGAGAGACTGTCATAATGCTGGAGAGTCATGGACACGGATGACTGAGATGTGTGATTGATGATCTTAGTCGCGCGCCGTTCTGATTTCGGTACGTCCTGACGTGTGTAAACTCTGGTCGGATATCGCACTGACTCAGGACTGCTCTTAACACTCATTGTGATCTTTCTACTGCCTTCTCTTGATGCTTTATTAGACGCACGGAAACCTGTGGCATTATGGCTATTCATTACACACGCTGACAAGTCAAAGTCCTGCTCGGACAGGTCATTATCAGAGAATGAGGAAATGTCCGACTCATTGGCGTCGTAATTGCTAACGCTCATTCTTCGCTCCAAATCGTATGTAATGTTCCGTAAATCGCACTGGTAGGGTCTCTTGAGCCAGTACATGCGCTTCTCGATTGGCGTCCTGTTGCGCTCGAATGAGTTCCACTGTTCGCGCAGGAAGCAGTGGCACACAGCGCACACCAGAGCGTCCCCATCCGGACCGATCTCCGGCGCGCCAGGAGCCGGGTCCTGGCCTTGCAGGAAAGGGAAAAACGGGCCATTCTTTTCTCGTTGGTATTTTACCTGTAAGCTCAGCTCTTTCCCCGGGGTTACCCCGCTCCCACAAATGAAGCAGTGGATGAAGAAGATCCCGTTGCGCTCGGGTCTGCACACGCTGCCGGACAGAGCGCTCTCTTCCCCGGGAAAAGCCGAAGCCATTCGCTGTTGCGCCTTGGAGATCGGCGTGAGCTCCGGATCGTTCATAGCTCCATACGTAATAGCTTCAGAATCACAAACAGCGTGATTTCAAACCCAGTAACATTTTTTGTGCTTTTTCTCACAAATGTAGCGCCATCGATCCCGCGGAAAAACTCCACAAACTTACTCGCTCCGGCGATTTTAGATTGGTGTCTGTGTAACAATCTAGAAAAGCACACTGAGCAGCCGATTGGAGTCACATCCTCATAGGCGGCGGTGTAATCCGTGTGCTGTTAGAGAGTAGAAAGCCTTATTGAAGTTGCTTGGCGAAGTTTCCTCACACTGTGGCTGTGAGACCACTGAACACAGCGCCATCTCTCTCTCTCTCTCTCTCTCTCTCTCTCACTCACTCACTCACACACACACGTACATTTCACTATTAGTCAGGACATCTCATAGACTTCCATTATTTGTTGTCAGGTTTAGGATATTTTATATTGCCTAACCCAACCACTACTCCTAAACATAATCCTCACAGAAACATGTGGAAAACACTAGATTTAAATAGCAATGTCCTTTTAAGGTCAGTCTCACTAGTCGGTGTTCAGGTTTCAATATTAGTGAGGACATTTTTGGACCTCACAAGTATAGTCAAACCTGCACACACCCACAACACACACACATACACACATAGAGATGTTTGCTTGCCAATATTAGACATCTTATAGACTTCCATTGTTTTTATATTATATGTCTATTTCCTCTCACCCTTACTCCCACCACAGAAATATGTGCAAAACTCTAGATATATAAACATGATTTGGCCAATTTCTAGGCCTAAGCCTTTTTGGCTGGTGAGGTCTGACTCATTAGTTGGTGAACAACAGGTTTCACTATTTTAGTGAGGGCATTTTTGATTAGTAAGGACATTTTGGACCTCACAAATAGTCAAGCCTGTACACAAACACAGATGTTACATATCACTAAATTCAGTTATAAAATTTGTTTGCTTTTTGCTGCACTGCACGATAAATAGTTGTTTCATGAAATGCCTGTCTATGTTAAAAAAATATAATAAATTTTAAAAACCTAGACATGAAATTCCTATTTTGTTCCATTAATGATTGAAGACAAGGAGCACTCGTTCCCACAGTGCCTGGGTCGGAACAGTTGTAACACATCCCAGGCCTTTTTTATTTTTCTAAATAAGATATTAGGCCTTCCTTTAAGTGAAAGACAGACATATTTTATTGTCTGGATGTCCAGTTTAATTTGATTATTATTTTAATTGTTTTAAATAATTTTTTTTGTCATTTTTTATTTTATTTTATTCATTATTTTCACAGTGGTGGCAGCTATAGCATAAAAGTTAAAAGTTTCACCTATTCACAATTAAATACATACATAAATTGTTCAAACTTGCATAGGGGAAATACTCTGTATTACAACTGTACAATGTTACACATTTACTGTATGTGGTCTACCTACTCAATAGTCCAAATTAATTGCTTGAAAGTACCTATATCCAGAGTGCCCAATCCTTTTCCTGGAGATCTACCTAGAGAATTCAGTCCCAAACATGATCAAACAAACCTCCCTATAATGCTCCACAAGATCTTATTTAGCTGGTTTCTATTGAAGATCTGTTTGAGCTGAGCTCTGCAAAAAGACAGATCTCTAGGAACAGGACTGAGCAGCCCTGGCCTATATGAATCCTCTGACAACAATGCCATGTGCATAAAAAGTGCAATAAATGGAAAATAATATTACACTAAATATTACAGGATGCTTTACATGCCAATGAAACTCAAAACAAGAAGCAAATGTTCAAGCCATCCATATCACTCATTCTATATTTTCACCTTCCTTTGGTTTGCTCCATTTAAGCACACTCTCCCCAGAGCTGTCTTCATTCATAAGAAGATGATATAGCTCTGCATTTCTGAAGTATGTCAAACATATGAGTATGACAACACAGGTGAATAAATCAGTGCTAATTTATTGTGTATTCATATACAGCTTTGATGGCAAAACCAAGAAGAATGGAGGTGTTAACATAAATCATTAATTCAAGAAAAGTAACTCTTGAGTTTCAGTGACCTGAAGTTTAGTCAGGTAACACTCGATGGCGCTGATATGACATCACATACTGTACTACGTATATGGTGCAAACTGATTGCCCTATATATGTAGGTCATTCCTGGTATTCAGTGCCTTCTGGACATCATAACATTTAGAAAATCAATCACAGTTTTTTAAATTACTTGTGTATTCATTAAAAGGGAGATGTAAAGCATTTGATTTTGGTTTAGGTATTTATGAAACAAAATCAGAAAAGGAGGACCAAAAATGTCCACCCTGTTAGAGACAAATAAGCAGTTTGAAAGACTTATGATTCAAATATATGAGTATTGTGTTATTGTTATCTTATAAATCCCATATCTCTGACTTTCTCTTGAAAGCAGTTTTTTTTTTTTTTTGCAATGCATGAAACATGCTTTGTTGACTTTTTAAAGTAATACATTAATACTACTCCAATATTTTTCATTAACAAATAATTAGTAGGTTTTTGTTTGTTTGCCTGTTTGTTTGTTTTTGTTTTTTGCTGACAATCTCATCAAAATAAAAAAATAAAAAAATTTAAACAAAAAATCTCATACTTATCAGTGTGGACAAAGCAGTAGCAGGATGGTCAATTCCTGAAACCAAATATGAATTGGTGACTATTTTATGAATTTGAGATATCTGTATTTCCTGACTAGTTTTCCAAGCACTGTTCATGAAATCATGCAACGCTTTGTCTCTTATCTGGACTTTTTTTTTTGCCTTTATTATTAAGCATGTCTCATTTCAGAAAAGTAACCATTATAAAATTGACTGTTATAAATGACACACAGTATATAAATTAGGTGTGTGTAGAATTGTGGGCCCTAGTAGTAGTGGCCCTATTGCCTAACTTGGCTATACCACACGTTACAGCACAGTATGTGATAATCTGAAGTGTTCTCAGTGATATGGAAGGCAGATTAAAAGTAACAATACCAGAACACTTTTTGGTGCTACATAGAACCCTTTTTATAGGATTCCATAAAGAACCATGCTCTGCAAATGCTTTATAGGACCTTAATGGTGTTATAAATAACCTTTTTAATGATAGTTTATTTTATTAATATTAATATATTTATATAATTAATAATAGTATTATTACTATTATTTGTATATATTATTTATTAATATTGTTTTTTTTTATCTGCCTGGTCTTATAATATATTGTAGCCTCTATTAGGGTTTTACATAATAAAAACAACAACAATAACAACAACAGCATGTTGTGTCAATTTCGTTTTATTTATTTTAATGACGTGAAATTGTAGCAAAAATGACTGTGCCCAGTTATAACTGTAATAACTGTAACAATAGTTATTAGAAGAATACATTAATAAATAAATACTCAGTCTATATGAAACGATCTGTAATAACAGACAAAGCAATAGTGACCACGTAATAAAAACAGTTACTCACAAAATCTCATACTTATCAGTGTAGACAAAGCAGTAGCAGGATGGTCAATTCCTGAAACCAAATATGAATTGGTGACTATTTTATGAATTTGAGATATCTGTATTTCCTGACTAGTTTTCCAAGCACTGTTCATGAAATCATGCAACGCTTTGTCTCTTATCTGGACTTTTTTTTTTGCCTTTATTATTAAGCATGTCTCATTTCAGAAAAGTAACCATTATAAAATTGACTGTTATTCCCTCATGAAGTGTGAATTACTGGAATGTCTTCCTTACTTTGTAATGCAATGGTTATTTTATATATATATATA